TATATTCAGATACGTACATACAACAGCCAAGTTTATCTCTCATACACAACAATGTACAAGACAACCTGACAAGAAAATCCACATTCTTGATGCTCTTACAAGGCTATCATCTAAAAACAAGTCCAGTGACGACTTCAATCCAATCAAAATGATCACTGTCCTATCTTTTAAGAGTGCTCGTTCCCATTCAGGAGCACATTATTAGGCATATATCATCACATAAGAATGTATCATTCCCTCATAAATTACACATCATCACATGATCATGAGGCTTGAAGTTCATTTTGAGAAGGTTGAGTGCCTGACTGCAATAACCGAGGTGCCGAGGAGACAGTTGCTGCATTCACAATCAAATCCCATGAATACGATGAACACTTAACAGGTGACGGTAATGAAACACCACGAAAATGATATTGTGCATCCACGTAATCCACCTGCAACACCGAATTCACATCAATGGATAGTGAGTTATCAGTTAAAACAAATTCAATGGGCATTAAATGGATGTGATCACTTGCATTGTTTCCAACAGATATCAACTAAACATTATCAAATCGACAGAAGTTTCAAGAGAATTCATACCTAGTTTATCCGAATTCTTAGTAAAAACTGCTGCAAATAGTTGCGAACACTGTTTAACAAATAATAAACAACAGTAACTCAACTGAAAGTCTCATTCGCCAATATATCTATATCAAAATCAAAAACACACACGTGTTAACTTACACCAGTGACTGCAAAACGGCCAATTTGCCTCGTATTAGAAATCACTGGTCCTTCAACTACATCAACATGCTCGCCGACTTTACAAAGTATCACATCATCATCTTCATGATTCAATATACAATCTGCCTTCCTTCTGAAATCATCTCACGTCTTAAATTACTAAATTTAGATGCGAAGAAATATCTCATCTTGGAATGGTAAACCCAACAAATACAGTGATTCGAACTGATGTCTTATTGAAAAACCATAAAACTAACTGATTTTCAGCGAATAATTCCGCGGCGAACATCCTCGGCACACGAATCGGTTCAAATGGTAGCGCTTTGTAGATATAATCGCGAAATACTTTACGTGTCAATATGTCGAGTTCAGCCTGAACATTACATAATTAAAAGTGGGACACAAATCAAGCAAAGGACTAAAGTGAAAATATTTCAATGTTGTACTATTGAAACAGCTACTGCAGTACCACGAGAATAGTCCTACTTCATGGACAAGTGTATAATATCGAAAAGAGTGCCCATATTAGTAGAATACCAAAATACTTACTAATTATATGCATGCGAAAATTGGCAATATAAAAACTAGACCTTCATAATTCGTGAAAGAAGACAAAGTTGCAACTAACTGAATGAACATCTGATTATCTGAAAAAAAATTACCTGTGAAGGTTTCCAATCGTGTAATTCGTCAATACAAGTAGCATATATGAATCGTCCACTTTCCACTGAAATTTCAAAGATAAAACATCAGACACAAACATTTCCTTACGTATGTTTCATCTGATATGAGGAAAAGGTAAATATCAGACGAAACTCAAACAATACCCCGATTCTATCTTAAATAAACAGTCAAATTAACTTTGCTAAAAATACAGCGACAT